CACGACAAATGGATCTAAAAAACACTGTCGTTATCTTAAGAGACACATTATTGTGGAAATTCTATGTAATTATTTCATGAAAAAATTGACATAAACCTTCATTTATGTCCTTATTTTAAAATATTTCCTATTCCTTTTTTTTAAGTTAGAGCAGCACAAAGTAGGGTCTCATAAGATATATGGTTTTCATAATCTACTGCTAATTTATCTTATTGAAATTACAGCGGCACTGCACCAAGAGAAATTCTTGCCCATTGTTTGCAAATTCTGCAAACAAACCTTATCAAAACTCAGATCTTAAGTTGCATATTGTTGACTTTGACTGAGCCATTATTGTGGCTGAATTTTTAGGGCCATTGTCCTGTCTAAAGAGGAATTTCCCTGTATTTTGCTCCATTTATCTTCCCGTCAACTCTAACCAGCTTCCCTGTCCCTGCTGAAGAAAAGCAACCCCCACAGCATGATGCTGCCGTCACCATACGTTATGTAGGAGTATCAGAGGAGAACGGGGATTTATAAACAAACTCAATTTGTAGCTACGTGATTTTATGAGCAGAAATGCACCATAGCAGTGAAAATGATTCAAGCCATAAACCAGCTTACTAAATTATTATTGCAGTTAGATTATGATTAGAAAAACAACAGAGAGATTATTGGATGTTCAAGACAAAAAAAAAGTTGCATATTTAACATTAATGTAATGGGATGTAATTTAAAGAATTTACATCTTTGAGTAAAACATTTTACACATAGAATATCCATTACAAATCCTTAATGTTTTGCTGCAATTCCAAACGTGGCATTGGTGTTTTAGATAGAAATAGCATTTTGATACAATTTCAAAACCAAACTAACAACCAAACTGTTTCTTTCAAACTCAAGTGAAAGAAACGGTATACAAATCATATTCAATTGTCTGTTACATTTGATATATTTAAAATTGAATGTTTTGAAGGGTTTTTAACAGAAATATAACTCGCTTGAATTGTGAGAATATCCCCCATCACTGCCACCTAGTGGTATGTTTGTTCCTTTGACCTGTCAGCCTCCAAATATGGACTCTTTCATGTTTTCATGTCCATTTTTTCCCCATGAACTCCTGGAATTATCCAATCTGGTGGGATATGAATCACCTGGTTGCAATCGGCGTTTTCACTGCCACCTTTCTGTTGTTGATGCTGTTGAAACGTTCATATCAACACTTTCCCATGTTCAAGCTGGTGACGCATGAAGCCTTATCTCCACGTCCAGCTTCCATGAGTTCTGCATAAGAGGCTGGTGCATCGTGGGGAAGAAGCAGATGTGTCCGTACTGCAAAGAGAAGGTGGATCTGAAGAGGATGTTCAGCAATCCGTATCCTTCCTGTTGTTCCAGCCATTTAAACAACTACTTTTTGAGCTGAATGTTGAATCTTGCTGTTGAGTATTATAAGAAGTCAAGCTAAATAATGTGTTGTTGGAAGTTTAAATTGAGTGGAACAAAGTGACTAGATGTTAATTAAAGTACTAGAAATTTCCAACTTGCATATCAAACTTCTTGTTCCTTTTCATGGATCAGTTAAAGACACATTAGAGGCGCGTGACAGCAGTTTCCTACAACAGAAATGGGATTCTTCTAAATTAGAAGGTCATTAAAAAGTTTACCTTAAGCATTTCCGATCAGGGAAAGCTATATTCAGTTGTATATCTTAAATGTTTATTTTAAATTAGAGGATTGTGAGTGACAGATAACAGAATCCTAAAAAAATTTCATATCTTGTATAAGGCCAAACAGAAATATTTTAACATAAAAGTGTTGTGGCCCATCCAGTCTAGTATTTCTAAAGAAGCACAGACTGCTGTTCCAAGGATATCAGTTAAAAGTTGAGTGGAAGGAAGAAATGGTTTGGAAGGGGGAATTGTACATGAAGCAGGCATACACGTAAATGTTCACTAGGTGTAGTTTGTGCGTCAATACTGTGCACCTGTAGGTCTTTAGTGACATGTTTTTTTTTTGCAGAATCACAGGCTGATCCATGTCATGCTGCATTGATGCAGTAAGTCATGTTAAAGGAGACCTAACCCAAATATTCAGTGCATATGCTGCACTGTACATGCATATAGGTTTTCAGTATGCTGTTTAAAGAGTAGTTTTTTATTAATTTTATTTTATTGTGGAGTTCTCTGAATTTAGCTTGGTTTTCATTTTCTAGAAGCCATAATTATCAAAATTAACAAAAAAATAAACTTGAAATGTATCAATTTGTCTATTTTTTATTAGCTTAACATCTTGCATTAGGTTGAGTTTCAATGATATTCTAATTGAGTTCCTGATTGTTGTATCTCTTCTGATTACTTTGAGTTGTTCTCCTTCACTGCTTTGTTCAGCTGGGAGAGGCCACATGTCATGTATGGACAACTTTTAGACTGGCTTCGATACCTGGTAGCCTGGCAACCCGTCATCATTGGGTTTGTCCAAGGTATCAATTACGTCCTGGGTCTGGAGTGATCCCGGACTAAAGACCTCAATGGACTGAGAAGATATGCACTGGCTCCAAAAAGACTGTGGGCCTAACATTAAACTAAAACACCAACAAAAGTGTCTCTACTTTTTGTAAATATTTCTAGGCGCATATCTGTATTTACGGTTTATTTGAATTTTATTGGTGTTCTCTCTCCGGAGGTCTGTTAATTTCCTGGGGTTTGTTCCACACCCATGTGATTTGTTATTTGGTTGAACTAGTAAATTGGTTTGAAAGAGGTGCTTTTTACTGATTCGTCTTAAATATTTGAAGGTATCGTTCTTGAACCATGTTTATGTCTGAAAGTTATGAGTCATAAATTTTTTTTGCAGAAAACGTCAACAATTCGTTACTTCCTCAAATTGACACATTTTCTTATTTCAGTTTAATCACTCATCTCGCTGCTTCACATTTGTCGACGTATTTTTAACTCAAAGTTGCGTAGGTTTCTTAAAGCTGATGTCATTCGTCTTCTGACTGGAAGCATCCCGTCAATGGGGAAAACCTTTTAATCATACAAAACCTACTATTTTATGAAACTTTCTGAAACATAAAGGTTACTTTCAGGGTATTTTTAGCAATATCCTTATTTTAACATTTTGTAGCTCTGGAGTAATAGAGGTTATTTAGTTGGTCTCACCATTATAAGACCAAGGGAAACTCTTTTTTTTCCAAAGCTATGGTACTCAAAGGCATCATACTGGTTAATTAGGAAACAAAACATAATGATCCTGGTCAAACTGGCCCAATCAGGGTCTCCTCTTTAATGTACAATATTAAATATATATAAAAAAGCAAACGCAGACTTTAGCAGTTTTTTCATGGATTGTTTTGAAGTACCACAACAGAATGAAACTAAAGTTTGAGTGTTATTTTTTTAAAACATCTGTTTTCCTTCTTAAGTTGGAAGTGGTACCTTTTTTTTGTTTTCATAATTTCCCACAAATTGCATCCAAGGTTTCCCCCAGAAAACTTGCTAAGCCCGGTGGTTGGGTGCGAAGGCAGTCATTCATCCAGCGGCCCGCCGTGTTTTTGAGTTAAAAAATGTTTAAAGTTGACCAACTGTAAAATCTTAAAAATGCTAACATTTTAAAAAGACAAATACACATGAGCAATATTTAGCCTGGTGGAGCACAAGTAAAGCCTGGTGGCCCGCCAGGCTTATAATGCACTGGCGGAAGCCCTGTACATCTCAGAGAAAATTCATCCATCCTCTTTTTGCTGATATTTTATGTATTTTATGTTAAAGCTTTTAAAAAAATACATTTCTTTAAAAATGAAAAATATTCTATAGATATTAACCACCAAGTTGTTTTTCTTCAAAAAGTCATGTAAAATTTGCAGTTCTCAAGTTTTGAAGTACCACAACTGTTAAAAGTTGTGGGGTAACATTTTAGTAAAAGTTACACCACAACGTCGAAATATTTTGCATTTGCTTTCAGCTTGTTCCGGCTGCAGTGAAGGCAAAAACGGCTCTATGGTTTGTAAAGGCTGCACACCCCTGGTAAAGCCTGGTGGCCCGCCAGGCTTATAATGCACTGGTGGGCCACAAATAAAATATTTTTTTTATTTTTGGCTGTCATTTTCAAAAAGTCAAAGCTCTAAAGAGGTTGTTTTATGGCTAAACTCTTCAAATCAAAAATGATCAGGTCGGTATAGCACATCTCAAGCAACAAATCAGTCAGTACCCTTTAATAATTGTCACATGACAATGATTGTGTGATTGTGTATAGTGTATGAACCGCACGTTTGCAGGGTTTCCACTGAATCACCGTGCGTAACAACTTGAAGTCAACCGTAAGTCACACAATTTTTGACCTCAAGCAACACAAATGCACAAAACTGAGGAAATCCCCATACTGAGTGGGAGGAGGGGAAGTGTGTACAGCTATATAATGGGATCCCTATTTGCAGATACTGCAGACTGTAGATGTTAACTGGACAGATCAATATGAAGCTGCAATCTACTATCAAAGGTAATTGTGCGTACTGATGAAAATACATTGTTTTATTTTTTTGTTGCATTTTTGTGATCATTTTGTGGTCTATGCAACAGCTTTTGGATGTCTGTGCCTGCTGTTTGCTCATGGATTTCCAGGTAAGGAGCAATCAAATATGACGGGTTTATGTTTTTATGTTTATTATATTGGCTCATTTCAGCTGTTCAGTTTCAGAGTATGACTCTCCAAAGATTATCGGGCCTCTACACAGCCAAATAAGGGCGGATCCAGGTAACTCATGTTATCCTTTTATTTGTATCCTGACATTCATGTCTAATAGTATCTGTTGTTTCTTACGCTGTGTTCAAGTAACGTCTACTGAAGGCAATAGTTCAACCCTGGACTGTGGATCTTTCCTTCCAGGTGAGCATCTGATTCTCCACTGTGACGCATTACCGAACTGCGACGAGGACGAGGCTCTCATCTACTGGCTCGTCAACGGCACTTTCCCCGAAGAATCACACAGCCATGACAGAATAATCGAATCAAACGAGTAAGGATCATTTCAACACTTTAATAGAAGTTACACCGCCACATCTAAATCATTTGCATCTTTGCTTTCAACTTGGTTCTGATTGCAATGACAAATCTCGTTTTAGATCATCTTTGATGGAGGGATTGGTCCTGCAGAAGAGTTTGCTCTTGAAAAATGTCGCATTGGAGGACTTTAGTTCCAACTTTAGCTGTGTTGTAACAAATGCAGTTGGAATGGCACAGAAATTTATAAAGTTAGCAGACACTGATTGTAGTGGTAAACATTAGAGGCACTCAAGGCACCTGCTGAACAATGTTCATCTTGCAACATGCACATTTAACATGAATTGTACCCTTCATCTACAATTCATGGTAGAAAAGTCTCTTTAGCTACAGAAGTAGTGTGGAGAAGAAAAAAAAGGCACAAAGCAAAACACTGGCTGGAAGCTAAGAGAAATATCTAGAGTACTTTGAAACATAAGCGCTCATCTAAATGCAGCACTGAGGCACTTTACATTGACTTCTGTGTAAAAACAAAATATTACAAAAATAAATTACTAAGCTTTTCGCTCTTTTGTTTTGTTTGCCGATATTTGAATTAAAAACTTAAATAAATATGTGTGAGGTGGAGACTTGGGTAATATAAAACATGCTTTTGTCTCCAACAAGTTATTTCTTTATTGCATTTAAGCTGACATTTTTGCAATGCTTGTGCATAATTAGGCCAGAGTAGTCAGGCACTCTAGGAAACAAAAGGACCAAATTTGCACCGTCACAACAAGCCTGATTTTTTTCCTACATGTACCAAAAAGGAGGAAGAAATGGCTGTACATACATATGTTTACTCGTCATTGTATTTCCTCTAAAGTGTATATATTTATACTTTTTTGTTTGTATGCTGTGAGTGCTTTAAACCAAAGTCAAATTCTTTGTGCACACACTCTTGACCAATAAATTCTGATTCTGGATATTTGTCCTATTATTTCTGAACAACTACATACTATATCTATATGTATTTTGTCACTAAATGTGCCACAGATGATAGGAAATCTAGATATTTCTCATAAACTTAAAATAGAAAGTGTTACAGTCTTATCAAATACACAATGGGACAAAGAATAAAGATTTGAGATAAAATTTCTTTTAAGTATCATTGTTTTCAGACAAACACAAATATAGAAAATATACATTAAAAAAACTTTCAGACAGCAAAGGAACATCCAATTTAAGACTGTATGTGTACATGCATGTAATAATGAGTGTTGAATCAGTTTCCTAATGGAGCATTTTATTTCTTAATGCAAAGAGGAAAAAATTACCCTAAAACATCAAATTCCACTTTAGTCTTCAAAACTTTTTCAAATTACATCTGTCATTAGCTCCTCCTTCAAGGTCAATCTTTAATTTAACAAGTAAGTATGTTATTACAAAACAATAATAGTGAATCAAAACTTAGAAACTGTCCAGATCAAGTTTTCTGAAAATGTAAATACTTTTTTGCCTGAAGGACTAAACTCTTACATATTCTGATCTTTAATTTAACAGCATGCTTTTAGATGTATGCTAAGATTCGTGTCCAAAATCCATCCCTGTGTGACTCAAGTTGTTTACCATTTTTATAATTACTCCCTATGTGATTTTGCAGAGCTACCAAAACACTAATGCATCTGAAAACCTATAAATGGCAGCAAGATAGATTGGATGCACAGCTCTGCCACAGCCTTTAGATGAGAAAACTCACAGGGCTGCCTTCTCCAGACTTTTAACTCGGTCTGGAAATTTCTGCTCATTAATAATGGGAGTTTCTGCAGATTAATCAAATATAGCACCTTGCAAAAACTGTCATTTCACCTTCAACTTGATCACATTTTGTCACATTGCAACCTGAAACCTGAAAGCATTTTATTGGGATTTTGTGTGATAAACACTGAGCACAACATAACTGTGAAGCTAAAGTATTTTTTTTTTATATATAAAAATAAGGAAAGTGTGTATTTGCATTCAGCCCACCTTCAGAAATTCCCTGGTTAGAAAGTGACGTTATTTTATTTTTTTTGTACGTAAAACCAGGGCTCTGATGGGATGACTTGGTTTAAGTCATATTAACGAATGATAAAGGATCAAAACCCAAGCCTAAGTGAAACTGGGAGTTTAAAAGAAAAGGTCAACAATGATTAATCAATTTCCTTTCCCCTCACAGTTACTCCTGTTTTGTTGAGCAACACAAAATCCAAATAAAAAGCCCTGGGGTTTGATCATGAAGCTACTGAAACCACTGAAGATGGGAGAAAACATGGAGATCTGATCACTTGGACTGTATCCTGATAGTGTCTCACATAAATTAGCAGCTTTTCCTCATATGCTCCCAAACTAAACGAATAGGCTTCCCATTCAAACATAAACTGCCACTCTAAGTGTGCCTTACCCATGCATGCGCTGATACTAAAGTGCACTACTTTGCTTTCTTGTGTAGTGATCGGCCATTTTATTCACTCTGACTTGGAGCCAAGTCAAAGGCTCACATCTCCAATTCCTCCAGGCAGCACTTCAAGTTCTTACTCCGATCTGGATGCTGAGATCCTTGGTTCTTTTTGATGAGAGCCGCACAGTCTTTAACTAAGTCTAGGACCTTCGCAGAAGGCTTGTGAAACGGCAGGAGAAGTTCTTGGTTGGTTTTGCATCCCATCCCAAAGAGGAAACGCAAGAACAAGTCCAGTTTGCCATCTGGGCATTGCAGGCTTTTTTCCACTGCTGCCTTGTACAGCTCCATTATTCTGTGTCCCTTGTGGCTCAATTTCAATTTGTTTTTCACCGATTGATCAAAAATGTTCTTGTCGTGGTTCCTTAAGGAGAGATATGCATAGAGAGCAGCCATGTACTCCTGCACGGTGGGGTGGAGGAAACACACCACGTCCTCGTGGCACAGGACGAATGGAGTCGTCGTGTACTGCATGCAGATGCCACTTCTGTTCACTGCCTCTATGTGAGAGAAGTCAGGACATTTCGACCTGTTCATATGAAACTGACCCTTTTCCAGCAAGGTAAAGGCAAATTTCCCAAGTTCCATAAGCAACTTCAACTCGTCCTCTGGACTGAAAGCCGGCTTTCTTGTTCTACGAATGTGAACAAGCTTCAGCAGGAGCTTCGTGTACATGTACGTAATGTTGGTGGGGAGTTTTTCTTCCGGTGACTCTCTGAAGACGCGCTGGTACTCATCTGCCAACAACATGCAGAACAAGGGCAGGCAGCACATGATATGGAGAGTTTTCAACGACTTGACGTGCTCGATGACTCTGGCTGCCTGATTTGGGTCCTTGAACCTCTTCCTGAAATACTCGTCTTTGTTTGCGTCGGAGAAACTGCCCATTTCGATCTCGTCGTAATGCCCATCCCACGGGGCGCAGCGATCAGCATGAGGCCGGGACGTTATCACGAATCGGGAGCGGCTGAGAAACCGGCCTCTGAGGAGGTTGACCAGGAGGACCCTCATGGTCATGGGAGAACTGGCGTCGGAGTGAATCTCTGTTCGCATAAAGTTAAACTCCTCAGGGTACTCGTCTAGACCGTCAAAGATGAATAAGGCTTCATTTTCCTCATACCTCAAGCCCTCCGTTTTTATCCTCTTTGCCATCGGGTACAGTTTGTTCACTATATCCATCAGAGAGATCTTAGTTTCTAAATACTCGTTCATCTCTCTGATTGTTATGACATAGACAAAGGAGAAATGCTGGTGTGATCGCCCCCGAGCCCAGTCAAGGGCAAGCTTTTTGACAAACATGGACTTCCCCGATCCTGCCAGTCCATAGAGATACACCTGCCTTGCGTAAGTCTTGGTTATCCACTCCTGAGAGAGAGTTTCTGCTAACAAAAGCCGATCGCCTGGCTTCTTCTTGGTGGACGCCTTGGTTATTTGCAAGACCTCATGTTCAACATTCGGCCCATTGTCAGAACGTGAGAAAGTATTGACGTCTACGTAGATGTCATCCAGTGGCATCGTTTGTCCTTCTGTGATCGACACTTCGCTATACTTCTGTATCATCAATTCACACAATTCATGACGTATTTGATCTGGAAGAAAAAAAAAAATCAGGTTAAGATCAAAACATCATCTGTAGAGCTGTGAAAAAAGTATTTGCATCCTTCAAGATTTCTTGTCTATTTTTAATAGAGGAATATGTTAATACAGAAATACGTCATTTTTGTTTAAACAACTTTGTTTCCCATCTGTTCTTGGATTCCTTAAGATGCGCTGCTTTTTGAGTTCTTTTACCGTATTTCATGCTGTCAGATTCGTTCTGTTAAAATTATTAAACTAACGCAACTGAACCAAAAAAATGTCGTGATCATTTGAAAACTGTCCTTTGCATTTGTTCAGGTTTTCTGATATCAACATTTGTTTCATCTAAGAAGAGAAGAAACCTGGAAAGCATCAAATACTTTTTCACAGCGATGAATCATTCGTGTTACTTTTAAATGGAAATGAACACGGTGAACGCTCTCACTTTTGATGTACAACATCCGCAGATGTTCAGCAACATTTTTTTTACTGATGCTGACGAGAATGGTTCTGGTGATCTGCACAGACATTTCACAGGTGAAGCTCTCCAGCAGTCGGTCCACGAGGTCCACGATGTCCATGCTTTGAGAGGCGCTGAAAGGCTGCGGGTAATGAGTCCACAGCTTCCACTTGAACATCCTGAAATCATCTTCAGGCAGCTTCTTCAGGGTCTCACACAAAGCCTAGGAGGAAATGGAGCAAATAAATGAATCACTTCCAGCTTGAGCTTGAGTTTTGAAGGCCTGGTGAAGGTGAATGCCACATAAGCACACCTTAAAAGTGAATTGTAGGGTCAAAGATGGATGCTTGATTTCCTCTGGCTCTTGGATTAATTCGAGCTGGTTCGAGGGCTCTGTGACTTCCTCTTTGGTTTTTTCCCTGGTGAAACACACAGGTTTCATTACATCTTAGGGCCACGTATCAAACAGCTGCATTCGTTAAAATCTAACACTGCGGTCACATTTCTTACTTAGGAATGATCTTTTCACAGTCGTTGCTGTCAACGGAGTAGCAGCTGGAAAATGAATCCGCTCTTTCCAGCCGGACGCTAAAACCAGGAAGACAATGACGCTTTAACATTATAGCAAGGTAATGAAGATCAGCGTAACTCTCTGATATGAATGTGAGCGCCTCAAGTGATCATCATGCTTAAGCTTTTTGTGAGTCTTTAGTGCTGCTTGTACCTTGTAGAGGCCCCCTCCTGGTCTGCCACACCTTCATCTTCACTAGTCAATTTTTCATAGCTCTGAGCTGGAGTCAAGGCCTGATCCACAAAATGCCTGTAGGGAGCAGAGTTAAGAGTTTTTTAGATAAAGTGATCCACAAATCAGTCACACAAAAGTTGAAAAAAGACAACTGGTCATTGGTTAGTCATTGGTAGGTGATCACCAGGTAAAAGTAGAATAGAAATCTGGAGACAGAAATCAAGCAGTTTCCAACTTCAGCTGCCCAGAGTATTGACCAGCCAGCTGGGAGATGTGGGCAGATGACCCAAAAGTCAGAATTGTACTACTTCAGCATCAAAACCTCACAGGACCATCTGAAGGTGTTACAGCAGTGTGACGTTGCCTCTAATGGCAGCAGGAATATACATTTTCAAACCGGAATCAGTGGAATGATCCTTCATAAAAAGCAGAGATTAAAAAATACTTTACATTTGTTTTTATTTCCAAGAAATAACATCTTAATTAGTAGGTCAGAAAAAACTGGAAATCTGTGTTTATCAGTAAAAGCTCATCTGTGCGTCTTGAGTTAGTTTCTTGGTTTTCACAGAGCAATACACACAGGATCAGCAGTCCACTCTGACCTCAATGAATGCCTACAAGCAGCATCAAGTCAGGCATTTTAACTGAAATGCCTTAAAGTTGATAGACGGGTACAAGTTTGAGCTCCATGTGAAGATTTTTCTTTTTTAGGGGAACTTGCACTAACTCCACTTTCCTCCAGGAGGCGTATTTTTGTTACAATTGAACATTTGTAATTGCATTTATATAGCCTAATAATTCCCTTTTTCTTACAGATTTCTTTTATGCATTCTGCTAAAGTTATGCACAGTGCTTTTGTAATTAAATTGAATTCAAGTGTAAGTTATAAGTTATAAGGCTATGAAACTTTGTCTTAAAGCAGATAACAGTAATCCTAAAAACTCTTGTGCTTTATTTTGTCCACAAGTAAAGGCTGCTTTCATTACATTTTAAGTTAGACTTATTTTGGTACAGAGGAACCTTAGAATGTTCAGTGATGACCTTTGCCCTTCTCCACCAACGGCACACATTCTTTCCATCTCTGTATTATTCAAAGTGACTGCATTGTATGAATCTTTAGCTCGTTTGGAAAGGCTAAAAAGTCACAGATCTCAACATACCATTGACTGGTGTCCATAGGAGACGGTCCAAGGTCGAGAGATGGTCTCCTCTCAGGAATGTAGTAAAGATCCTCATCCTCAATGAATTCAACATCTTCTCTACTAGACACTGCATCCCCAATGGAAGAGTTGTCCGACATCGATTCAGCCATTATATCATGCAGAAATATACTCAGCGACCGACTCAGCAAGAACTACCAGTGAACGTTTTTTTCGTCCCAGTGTGAACACAGGCTAACCTGCCTGAACCTGTACAGCAGCAAGAAAAAAAAATAAAAATCAGAAATAGTCGTGAGGACCAGATATTCAGGTTTTTCAGAACCATTCTGCTCAAGGGCATATCGTCTTGCTTTCTTAAAAAAAAACCTTGAGCATTCAAAAGAAATTAAGTAGTTAGAGATAAAGTGAATTTAGATGAAAAGGCAAAACAATTGTAGAAAAGACCTTAAATGCAGAGGGCATACATAAATCAATACCTGGTTTTAACTTTAAATATATATGTGTTATTTGCATTTATGGATGGACAAATTATGATCAAATGAGTATGGTGTAATCAGTACTCATCTGATCATCTCCTTAGTTATGGGGTGGTGTAAAGAAAATAATTTTTCCGATAATCTATTTTGCATTTCAATAATCATCCAGATCTGAAAGAAAGAAAGAAAGAAAAAAAAATGCAATTCCAAACTTTTCCAGACTGTCAGCGGTGGGACACAACACATAAGGTGTAAATTCACACGCCACGTCATGAATCTAACTTATTTAAATTATCTGAGAGGTTTATATGTTTAGGATACTTAATTCTCAATGTGGACAAAGCGGCATGTCATAAAACACTAGTTTTAAAAAAGAAAACCGCTTCTTTTTTTTCATAAATTGAGAGCTTCTGTCTATCTAGAGCAAATTCATGGCTTATATTCATGGCTTATATTATATCGTTTATGTGATCTACAATTAAAAGCCATGTGTTTGAAGCTTGACTTCACTATTCTACATACCAGAGATAAAGAACGTGTTCTCCTTTCACTGAAGCTAAATTAGGTGTAGCATTTAGCTAACTTACCCGGTGTCCCAAAGACGACTTTAAGAACGCTAGTGTTGTCAAAACTTTCACTAATACGTTCAAAAACGATGTAACCAATATAGAGGAGTTGGCTAGCATATACCATATTATTATTAAGACATAATTACCGATATTTTGACAGAATAGTTACCTTACCTCAGAAAACCTTTACTACAAGGAAGTTTCTTTTCTTGTTCGCTGTCAAACTATAATGGAGGCTTGATAAACTCGACTGCCCCCTTGAGGATGAAGCCATTAAACGCACACTCCCGTCAGCTAAAGATCACCTACTGAACGTTTTTGGTTGTTAAGAAATTTAATCTCAAACCTGCTTATTTCTGTAATTCTTTGGAAGAACAGCTAACAAATCTTAATGTTCTTTTCATGTTAAAAACAGTTAGCACTTGAAAAAAATAACATGTTTTAAATAATAAATCAATTCAGGCACATGTAAAGGTTTTCAAAAATGCTTTCTTTCTGATAAAAAGCTACTATTGTAAATTAAAATGTATAGAAAATTTTAATATTACATTATAGATGTTCCCAATTGCTTTAAAGGTATTCTTTTTGTCTGTGTGCATAAAGATAATAAATTGTTTCAACATATTTTACTCCACAGTTGTGTAGAAAGGCTTTCGTGGCTAACACACATTTCTAATGGTTTAATAAGACTTAATTCATAGCACATTTGGAGCTTCCCTATGAAAAGACAAATCATTCAGTTTTAGTTTATATCATGATGCTGCTGTTATGTAAGGCTGGGACTGAATGTCAATCCCCTGCATCAGAGTTTTCCTTGGACTGAAAGTATGATTCACAGAGATAAAAAAAGAATCATGATTTATAGATGCTGTATCAAGTCACATTCTCACATTTCCCACTGTTCCTCTCTTTGCATCTATGATTATTGATCTTTTTGGCGGTCACTGCTAACAGACTTGGGTTTCAATCTGCTGCACTGGCTTTTATGTAGATGATTGTGAATAAACATTTAAAGATCTTTGAGTGTGTGAAAATCCATCCCTCTTTTTCCCCGTTATTTCATTTTATTGAACACTATTGTTTCGGCATACTGTGGAACTTGGCTGAAAAAGTATATTATGTTACGGTAAAAAAGAGGATGATAAAAATTTATTATAGTCTTATTTCTTATTATTAGTAAACCCAGTATTATTGAGCCTTTGTTACTAGATGCTATAGGTTTTCTTGACATATTTCTGACCATTTCTGCCATTTCAGCTCTGTTTCTGTTTGATTCATGCATGTTAAATTATCTCCCTTCCTCTACATATAAGCTCACCATTAACTTTTTTAAATTATCATATGTCAAACCATGGATTTTAGGATTTTTTACAGCTCAGTTTCACATTGATGTGCTCTGTTCTTGCAAAGTATAGCCTTTATAATCTGCATTAGGAATACACTTATTATATAACTGTTTCTAAATGCAAATTCATCACATGAAAACAAAAACTGACCAATTTCCTGCTTGATTAACGAGCAAAACAGGAATGCAGCCTCCCTCACCTGGCCACAAAGCAGCTTTTAAGTTAATGCTCAATTACATTTCTTGAAAAATGGTTTGTAAATAATATAGTCCTGATTTCAATACTCTTTTGACAATTTTGGATGTAAAGTTCCTTAAGACAGAGCTGAATGTTTGCAATTAAAGCCCAACTCATCATTATTTGTAAAATTATATATTTTTTGAAATGCCTTTTAAGAAAAGGCCTCTTCACTACAACTTAAAAATCAAATAAATTCAAATTTAATTATAAGGTAATTTAAAACCCCTCAAATGTAATATTTATTTACTTAATTACAGTGCACTGTAAATATGGCTTAATACTGAGCAATGCATGAGTAAGGAAAGGTTTAAACCCTGAAGCTGTTTAGTGATATATATAAAGATCACGGCATGTCAGCATCCTCTTTCCCTTGGTGACCACTGTTCCACTACAGTGCGCTTTGTGTGATGGAGGCGAGCAGCGACAAAGACAGCAGGAGAAAACAGTGGCTTGTATGGAGGGCGATCAGTGCCAGCAGGCTTGGAGAAGATGTAAAGGAATTAACATCAGAATACACCACAGTATTTCTATTTATTGGAGACATACGATCAAAGTATAATTTTATATTGTTTCTTTTAACCAAATGTCAGCGATCTTTGTTTTAGCAGCATGTGTGTCATTATTTGTGCAGTCCGTGCATATGAACCAAGTTGACCTAGACACAAAAGGCTCTGAGGTGATGAAACAGGAAGGTAAACAAACACTCAATTCATGATTGTATTGTCTCCTACTCACTTTTGTTGTTTTTTCCCCCACTGGCAATGAATAAGTTTGTTTTAATGCAAATAATGATCATGTTTTTTCAGTCACTAAGCACATATGTAATTTGTTGTTGTTAGGTTACACACTTTGGATTATTATACAGTTGGCAGATTTAGATTTAACCCTACTTTTGTTCAACCTGGGTTGTTTTTCATAATGAAGTACAAAGTAGGCGTCTCTCAAATTTGTAGATTTTAATCTAGTTGACTTGTCAGTGGCTAGGCTAGCCTCTATTTCAATTTATCACCATTAAAGATGGCTTGAAATAAAGCCCACAGATTAAAAAAAGGAACATGCTAAGAGATCCAGCTAAAGATATTAATGCTGTATAAAGTTTAATTGAATTCCACCTCAAATATCCTGAACCAAACTCTTAAAAAAAAAAAAAATTCTCAAGAAATATTAAGCTTGAAAGTACTGTCTTAGATTCCTTCATGGGGGAAAAAAAAGCCTGTTCACAGACAAATGACCAACAAACATAACAATACTACATGCTGAGTCTTCGCGGTTGTCGCTCCTGTGGCATTAATCACCCGTCATACAGAAAGACCTCGCCTGCTGAAGGCAGCGAGGGCTGTGACTCCATGTCTGGGGAAGGGGAGGGAGGATGCTTAGAGCGAATGCTACCTCTCCAGACGGCAGGATGAAGTGAACAGTCTGCGTGTTGTTCGCTGCTCTGGACGGTACTAGGATGTATTTAGGCAGAAGAGCCGGGCAGCAGAGACCCAGCAGCATCACCGCCGCTGAGCCTGACATGAATGATAATTGAAAGACCTCATTCAAAGGACTGAGCAGCGCTGGAATCTGCAGAAGCCTGCCGGGCTTTACTCAGTCTCCGCTCCACGACAAAAAATTTAGACATCTTGGACTAATGCCTACCTCCATTGATGTTTAAAGCCAGTTAAAGCCAGTGGGTATCTTCTTTTTTGGGGGGAAGAGGAATTTTTAGTACATTTTGTGTGCTTATTTATTTATTTTTTCCCCTAATTTTGAGAAGGGAGTTGGTTGAGTTGGGTGTGTTTTTCTTTTGTGAAGCTTGAAGACAAACTTCTACCATGGCACTGATTATGGAGCCCGTGAGCAAGTGGAGCCCAAGTCAAGTGGTAGACTGGATGAAAGGTGGGTTTTATTGCCTGTATAAATTTAACATTTTTCTCAAAACTGCTCAAGTGAATCAAGTGTTGCGCAGCGATTCAACACATTCCGACACAAACTGATGCGAGATGTCGGAAAGAAAGCAAAACACCTGCTGATTCCTCGCCTTTAAACGTCGTCGTTTGGGTTTATGCAAACCCGATTTGTTATCATTGATTATTGTTATTGTTATTACTATTATTATTGAACAATAGCGACGTGAATGTGGATGTTCTCCAGAAGAGAGCGCATCCAAACATCTCCAAGCGCTTTGAAACCCATTGTGTCCATTGTTAAATCAGAGCTTCCTCCTCTGGGAGTCTGGGGCAGAGATTTAGTAATTATACCCAGATGACACGGACTCATGGGGTCAGATTCTGGGTTCAGATGAAAACGGGGTAAAGTGATCTGGGAAGTGTGTGTGCATAGCAATCATTGCAGCATCACCTGCTAAATGTTCATCCACAGATGTTTGGAAGGACTCTTCAAGTGAGCTGACAGAGAGGGACACCAAGACTGACTGGAGTTAAAGCCTAAAGCTATTCCTCATCACTTTTCAGTAAAATCAATGCACTTTAATTATAGTTTGTTATATATATGACAACATATTTTGGTCAGTTTTTCTATTTGTTTTGGTATTTTTTTTTGCTATGATGAAAGCAAAAACAAAACAAACAAACAAAAGAAAAACAATAACGAGCTTCAGATGCTCATACTTCCTGGTGACATCACAAAAGGCGCAGCTGATCAGCGCTCTTGCAACATCCTTTCCTGTTTCCCTTTTTATTCACGTTTTACTTTCCTTCGAATAAATGTACTTGGATTCTGTGAGCACACAGCAAGGAGTTCAGGAAAATTTGGACATGAGAAACACAGAAGTGGTTTGTGAAGATGAGCAGATGAGTCAAACCAAGTTATAAAAAACTGGTCTAGTCTCTGTGTTAATTTCCTCCATCACCTGTGACATCCACCAAAACAAACAAAAAAATAATTGTTCTATTACTTCCTCTTGTCGTGTTAACAGAAATCCACATGCAGCAAAATTTAGTGTTTGCTTCAGTCTGTTTTTGTGAAGTCTTCTTCTTCTTCTTCTTCTTCTTCTTCTTCTTCTTCTTCTTCTTCTTCTTCTTCTTCTTCTTCTTCTTTACCCTGCTGTGTTTTTACTGTTAGTGTCTCACTAACATTTGTTGGTGGAAAAGTACACCAGTGGATAATATTTTTAAAACTAGTACATGACAGACAGAGCTTATATATGGTTCCAAAGTTTATTCCTAAAGCTTTTGTTATCATGACGGGGGAATCCTCCGCCTTAGCAGAAGCTAACGCACATAGAGAGAGATCTTTTTCAGACGAGTAGTAGAGCCCTCCTGAGGCCATTTTCCATCTAAGAAATGTTTGTGCTTAAACTAATCTGACGTGCCATTACTAAAAGCCTGGAAATTCAGAAATGTTGAAGTTGTTGTGATTAATTTGTCTCCGTCTACCCAGCTTTGGTAGCTGTGTCAGATTAGCGTTTGCTTGCTTTGATCTAGAGATCTGTAAATGTCCCCAAACCCAAAACAAGTTGTGGGTTTTTTTTTTTTTTTTTTTTTTTTTTTTTTTACATCCTCAGCCCACTCCCACTCTCTTCACAGATTCCTCATAAGCTATGCTTATTTTTGTCTGTTTGCATTACAAAGATATTCCAGAATTCAAATGTGATAGGAATGTAAGTGGAGATGTTTGTTCCAGTTGGAGGGAATTCTCTGCCTATTCAGATTTGTCTTTTTTTTTTTTCCAGTTCTTTAAATAGTAATTGTCTCAGTAATGTGTTGTTTTGTGCTCACGTGTCAGACCAGGGGCCTTCACATCCACATCCATACATCTGTACCGCTTCAGTACACATACACGTGTAAATATAGCATCGTAATTCGCAGCCTGTTGGTCGCTGCTGCTGCTGCTGCTACACCGAGCTGCGTGAGATGCTCATCGTATTATAAACAGTCTTCAATGTCTATTAAAAACTAAAGACAAAATTGTGAAACATTGTACGATTACGTTGAAATTTGGAATTCAAAAAAACGATGTTTTAATTATCACAGTTGAGGTATTTTCCCCCTCAAAGATGCATTCTGTTTTGGGCTTTGTGTCACATTGAAATGTTTCACATCATCAAATTTTAACACCAGACAAATGTAAATACAAGAGTCAGTTTTCAAACAATATTTCTCATTCATTAAGGGGGAAAAACTATCCAAGCCAACTGGGACCATGTGGAAAAAGTAAGTGCCCCCTAAACCTAGTATTGCTTGTGCCAGCCTTGGCAGCAGAGGCGGACGTCAGGGTTTAGTGATAACTGGCAATCGGTCTGTTAAATCCCCGTGGAGGAATTTTGTTCCCTTCTTGTTGCAGAAGTGTTTTAATTCTGCCACATTTTTAGGGTTTGGGACGTGAACAGCCTGTTTGAGGTCAAACATCGGGTTTCGGTTGCACATGGCTCTTCATCTGACGTTGATGGGCTGACGTATTTAAGTGAACGAAAAATAAAAAAGAAGAAGAAATCCCCAGGAGGGAGTCGTTTCTTACCACCATTTAAGTTCTATTTTTGTGGTCTACTTTGATTTGACACACAAAAATTTGGAATAAAAATCATCCGGTAAATAATATATTGAAGTAAACATTTTATCTACTGCTGTGTAAGCAAATAAAATGTAGGAGGTTAGCTATCCTTCAGCCAGCTGACTGGCAGTGTGGAGCATATGAAGGACAGGGCGCGTTGTTTTAATTTATGCTTGATATGATCATAAAAAACTTCAGCTCCTCCTTTGGTATTGTGCGTTAGCCGTCCTTCATTCAACTTGTGGCACTTGGTGAAGTAGCTCAGCGTTTTACCCAGCCAGCAACAGGTGGAGAAGGGGGGAGTTCTGGGCTTGTTGTAATGTCCATACAGCTGGACGAATCTCTGTTCAGTTCGTCGCTTTCTTTGTTATCGGATGCTGGCGTTTTTATGCAAGGTGACTGGCAGCTCGCAGCAACCTGCGGGGGAGGGGGACTGCGCCGTTACTTCATTGTTCTTTTTGCTGGCATCTCATTAAAATGAGTTTAAAGCAAATTAACTTCATGATGGAAAACTGCAGCTGCTGGAAACATTTTAAAGCCTTGGGTTGCCTTGGTGTCGGTCAGCAGCTTGCAGTGACGACAAGGACCCCCTTGAAAATGAGATGAAACATCTCAATGGTTTATCCATGAAACAAACAAATAAGTAAATCATCAGATCGCTCCTAGTACGAGTGTTATAACTAGCTGCACTTGAGTCGGTTGAATATGTGTTTAAAGAATCACATTGGAGAAATAGGAGCTTGTAAGTAAAAAAAAAAAAAAGATGCAGAATGAAGCAGAAAGGCGGCGATGCTAGCTGCTCAGTGAAGATTTAAGTCTGTGAAAAGACTCAAAGAACAAATGAAAAAAGTAGGAAGAACGACTGTATTGAACTCCTCTGTGTCCCGCATCTGACAAGTGGAGCAAAGAGCATTTCCGTGGCCGGCGCTCCGTAGTGGTAATGTGAAGTGAGGGACAAAAGTGACTTTGAGAGACACTGAGGAAGAAGAAACGGCTGCAGGGGGTGGGGAGTCCTGTTAAATAACCATCTCCGAGCCTTCTTGGCGACTGGCACTGTTTTGTTTTCAGGATTCCCAGGTTCCTTTATTTCTTTGTGCCCCCGTGATGTCGCAGGAGGCCAGAGAAGGGGGGGACCCCTGTGACCTTCCCACAGCCCTATACTCCCGTCTCCCGTCAGCTTTGTTTGAGCGAGGCGCTTTGTTCCCAGCTGCGATGGAGCTGTTGAAGCACTCAACTTTAGAGGGAAACGACGCACACCTTATCCTCCAAGTTTGTTCTCAACGTCAGCAGCATCTTCTGCAGCAGCGTGTTGTTTTTATGCTGCAGAAAAATTCAAGCTCACAGTCTGAACATTGTCGAACCTTCCATATTTACAAAGGGACCCACTTTTGATTTTCCTCCTCTTGTGTTCCCACTCACCCAAATAGTCTGACTCAGCCACTCAAACTGTCGTATATCTGTTTCAAATTGCTCTTTCCCCCGGACATTAAAAGTGGATTATCCATAATGGAGATCAGCGCATGTCGGCACTGTGCTTTTAATTTCTCCTCTAGGTGCTTAATAATCTGACCCATACATGGAAAACCGATGTGGCGGAAACTATCATGTGCACTCAATGAATGGTGTCCTATTTAAATGTGGACTAAATGCCAAACGGAACAGGAAAAATATCTGTGTTTAATATGTGGCGACTAATCAGGATTCCAGTGTCTGTGACTAATTAAATCTAAAAATCAAATCAGTTACATCACTTTCAACTGAAGATGACCTATTCAGAGAGTTTAAATAAAACTTCAAAGGAAGAAGAGATGGCTTAATTTTTTTAGAGATTCCTTTTAAAATGAATGCAGGAAGTATAACAGTTTAGAAGACGAAAGGGAGAAATGTCACCTAAAACCAATGAAAAAAAAAGTTATCTATATTTCAGTGTTGTTCAAACTATTTTTCATGTGGGCCAAAATCGTCAAGTCAAAAGGATTTGCAGGTCAAAAACATACATTTTATTTGTTTTTATTTGTATGTTCAAAAATAAAAAGGGAAGTGTAAGTTATTCCAAAACTTAAAAAGGGTTTACGCTTTATTAAAAAAAAAATTTTAAAAATTGAAGCGTCCACTTTTCCAGTTTTTAAGGTGAATGAAAACAGTTGCTGTGTTCGGCCATGTTTAATGAGTTCATAAAAAGCAGAAAAACCAAAAACAGCGCCATCTAAAGACAAACAATTTGTGTTGTACCAAATATTTTCCATTATAAGGAGAGTTACATTTGTTTGCAATAATTAAAAAGTTTCCATCTACTAGGGGCGGGGGGAATGCATCATTCTTTAATTGCAATGGAAAGCCACACAAAACTAAACCAGGGATCCACACCCCTGATCTATTCCAAAACCAACTACTCTCTTAATCTGGGATCATAATGAAAAAACCCCCACAAATTTCAATCATCAGATCCTCACTTTGACCCTCATATGAAAGAATGAAAAGAAATTATTCAAACAAAAACAGCATAAAATTGTTACCCTTCATAATTTATTATTTTGTCTCAACGCATGCAGGAGCTCAGTGTATTAACAAAGCGATACGAGAACAGTTTAAAATGGCCAGAAGACTTCATTATTTTGAGAGATTAGCTTAACATTTAGACAGACGATTTGTTTGACTGGCATAGATGCCCACACACAAAAATCTAACAGGTCATTGGAAGTGGGCAGGAGAGCCAAAAAGTCAAAGTTCAAAGGTCGGTTCGTGCTACATTTGATTTTCATTATTAGCCTCCTGCACCCACCAACACGGTTCTACGCAAAGCTATCAAATATTTAGCATAATTTATTTAATAGGAGAATACAGAGAGATTGGTTGCATACTTCACCGTCACAGTTATAGAGATTGATTAGTAAAGCTTTAAAGTGTTGAGCTCTCTATGGCCTTCCCCTCACACACACACACACCTCCCCGCCACACACACACAATTAGCTGCTAGCTGAACCCATCTTGAACGCTTGATCAAGTCTGTGCTTCAAGTCCCGTGTGTATGATTCGTCCACCACAGCAGAGAGACGAGCTGAGGGGGGAGTTGCATGTGAATGGGGGAGGAAAAAGAAGAGAAAGTCGCTACATAAGCTGTACAAAAACTGACTTCCCTGTCCGGACTGCTGAAAAGGAAAGAGGATACTTTCTAGTCACACAGTGTTGGTAAAGGCTGTGTGAAAAGCATTAAAGTGAAATGCAGTAAAATAAAGTAACATTTTGTTTCCGTAGAACAATCTAACAATGAATCTTCCTTGGCCTTTATAGACAGTTTTAGTGTTAATCTGACTGTAGATGGGGGAAATTTACTTCAAGCCTTACTTGAATGTTCATGTTCTCCTGTCTCTCCCATTTTGAAGAGTAACTCCTCTACCATGTTATAGTTATAGCCAAAGGAAACAGGAAGTCCTGGGTCGCTAGATATTCCCAGACAATATGATCCATAGATATAGAACAATAGACACTGCATTGGCTCCGTTGCAGAGTAGAAATTAGACGTTAGCATGCCACCATATTGTGAGTGGCACTTTGAAAAATAAAACATGTATCCTGGTAAGCTGAGGTTTTTATGCTCATCACTATAAGCTAATTTGTGTGCTAGTAATAGAATAAAACACAATATAATAAAACACAAGGTCTTAAAATGCTTGGATCGTTATTTATCCTCATACCAAAGCATTATATTAAGCTTTATTTATTTGCATTATTTGATCTGGAGAAATTTAGCTACATTTTAAAGTAAAAAGTATCACTGAAGAGAAACATGTGGAACTCTTTATTAATCTACTACTATCCTTATTATAAATATAAAGAAGTAGTGTCTTGATCTGTTCTGCTTAAAATAAAAAAGCTGCCTCAGTCGAAAATCCAATTCACAGGGAAAAGAGGGCATATAGTCAAAATCAAAATCATTTATAGGACAAATAACAAGTGCCTTTAATTCTTTTCAAGAAAGTCCGGTGAATTTGGTTGCTTTAGATTTTGTATTTTTATAGCAGCGTGAGTCATAAAACTGCAGTCTATGCCTAAGCGCTCCATCAGTGTCCCATCAGAATGCAATTGTGCTGACTTCTGCGCCAGAGAGATTCTTAATCCTGCCTGAGAAACGATTCTGAAGGTTTCTGTGATGCAATAGCAATAGATTGAGCTCCTTATGAAACCTGTTTATTGCGTGAACGACATAGAAGCAAGAGTTCTTTGTGATTTCAGATGTAAAGCACAAGCCGTCGGCACAAACGAGTGTTCGGTTTGTTTTAGTTTGCTGCCTTTCACCAAGTATTTTCTTCCACAAGGATTTCACACCTGCTGCGGTGCTAAAACATGTAAAACAAGTCACGCGCAGACTCATAACCCTGTTAAATTAAACGCTTCTTTTCAGGCTCGGCGCTGAAAATGTAGCTGGAATCATGTTGTGGAGGGGGGGAATGTGTCACATTTCTTGTGTCACACAGACTGTTATCATGCTTGAATGCGGCAGAACGCGACCTGTGATCACACGAATAGCAGATTTGCAGCACATACTCTGGTATGGAAGGCAACGTCGAGCCCACTTAGCATGTAGAAAGCAAAAGCAGATTTCGCAAGAACTCACAAAATCGGACTCAACTGTGTTGTGTCGTCTCAGGCCTGGACGACTGCCTGCAGCAGTACATCAAGACTTTTGAGAAGGAGAAAGTAGGGGGAGACCAGCTGCTGCGCATCACCCACCAGGAGCTGGAGGATCTGGGCGTATCCAGGATCGGCCACCAGGAGCTCATACTGGAAGCTGTGGACTTACTGTGTGCGCTGGTGAGTCCAAGGCTTCGCTTACATCTCTCTACTCACTGCTGCTACCTTTGAGTCACAGATTGAGCTTTCAGACAAATAATGTGTGTCTCTGTGAATCACGAAGTAGGAAAACTAACTTATTTGTTGTAAGATCAACAGAAACGTAAGAAAATATTGTGTCCCTGCAAAAGCTTTTCTATGCTTTGAACTTTTCCCACATTGTGTAGTGGCTCTTATGAAGGTCGCTGGGAACTCCACATGCTCTGGCCTTTATGGAACAGAGGCAATAAGAAGCCATTGTTGATCCAAGATGTCCTACTTTATGTTAGCTATTTATGTATAGAGGACACCGCAAACTTGGGAAGCAGCTGCTCTGGTCAAGTGAGATCAGATTAACTTCTTGACCTGCCTGCAAAATGCTTTCTTGGGTGGAAAACACTGAATATCCCCCCAACCCCCTAAACATAACTTCCCAGGCTTGAAACACAGTGGTGGCAGCATCAGCTGAAAGGACTAACACAGGAGAAAGCTTTACTTTTGGTTCAACAATCCTTCTGAGAAGAAGCTACATCTTATTTCACATTGGTCCAAAACGTGTGGCCTTTACAGTCTGACTTTGTTGTCTCCTTGTTCTTAAAGGGGCTAGCTCAATTTGCTTTTGTATCCTACAGGATTGCTCAGGTGGAGGTTGTTGTATTTACTGGATGTAGCTCCAGTAAGTTCACTTCCTTGTATCCATCTGTACACTGAGGGTAAAGCTAGAGCCGCAGAATTAAAATGTTGGAAATGTGAAACCACTTTGGGTTCCAGTTTAAAAATTTCCCATGAGATAAAGTTATCAATCTAATTTTGTTTTCTTAAAGCAGGCAGATATTTCTGCTGTCATCCTTTACTGGCTCGTTTTGAGGTAGTTTATGCACTTACTTGCTGTCAGAGATACAGACGTTTGCTGTGTGTCAGTGTGAAACACCGTCACTCTGCTGATTTGACTAATGAGCTGCTATAGTGTGAGAATGTATCCCCCTCATAGCCCTAACTCCTTCCTTGAGGATCCTTTGTTGCTCTTTAAACGATGCTGGTGGGATTACATCAGTAACGATAAGAAATAACATCATAAAACATAGTTTTCTGCTCAGAAGAAGAGGCTCATAAATGTAACATTCTGTGCAGTAAAATGAGTTTGTAGACGCACTGTTTGGTTCAGGCTGGAGTGATTTTACAACAGGCAACTTCAATGAATTTTAAATACTAGAACTAGCTGAGATCGTTTGAATTTATGGAGGATTTTCTCAAAAACTGTGTAAATTATGTGCACACACCCCCTAGTGACAGTTGGATAAATGTCAGCCACACACGTTGTGCAGCCATCAACAAGCTTAGACTGAATATTTGATGTCATTAAAACTGGTTGGTTTCCAGACATGGTTTTATCCTGTAAGTGAAGATGAAAGTTTGGTTTTCGGGAGGCCATTGAACGAACCGTCTAGAACCACTTCTGTGTTTTTTGTGCCTTTGTCCAGTTGGAGCATCCGTTTATGTCCAAGTTTCAACCATCTAAGCTGTTGATTTGAGGTTGAAATGAAACATTTAGAGGCCGCCCTCACTCTTCATTACTCTACTCCTTTTGGTTGTTCTGAAACATCCCGACCAGCTTCCGGTTCACCAGTTTGGGTCAGATGCTTCAAGCTCCCAAACACACATCAGAGCAGATTTTAGACGGATGAAACAGACTAACATTAAGCTTCTGGGGTGGCCCTTATCCCAACCCTAAAGAAGATTTCAGCAGTATGTTTAAAAGCAAGAACTACGCCAGGAAGTTACTTTTAAGGAGCTTATCGATGAAAACATTTAGGCAGAGAGGAAAAGGTTTGTGTTAGCAAATCAGCTAACAGATACGACTTGGTTACAGCAGATCTGTAGGCCAAACTTCCTGCAAACCTCTATGAGAAGCTTGAAGAGAGATATCCAAAACACTGTACATAAATAAACTTTATTATGTCATTTTATCAGTTAGGAAATGTATGTTAACTTCCCAGTTTGAAGAATGTTTTAAAAATATTTATATTTTGTCAAAATTCTGGTATTTAGCAAATAGACTTTATATTGGTAGCCCCAACTGACGTAAACAGAAAATGTTTAATTTAATATTAAACAGTGAGGACAAGTCTCTCTCTTTCTCTCTCTCTCTCTCTCTCTCTCCCTCTCTCTCATTTTAAAGCTCTAAGAAATATGGAAACTGTAATTACTCCAAGCAACACATTTCCATTTTCTTTCTTTTGCAAGTTCTGCAGGATAAAACACAAATTTATTGATGAGCTGACATATGGATTATGTGTGGAGTAAAAGAAATGCACATCGGTGTGAGTTAATCCCAGAGATCAATGGAGAAACTGGATGCAGATTTAGTGGGCTGAGGTCGTAGATGCTATCAGAATGTGAACTCCTCTCATCCTTCATCCCTGCCGGGAGGGGGCCACTCGCCGGCTCCAAAGCCCCTTACGTAACTGGGATTTAGTTTTAAGTCTGTCAGGCTCTCCTGTATTAAATATGATTAGCAGCCCTCCTGCTGTCCCCTCTCCTCCTAAGAAACCCTGACAGGAAAGACTCCACAGTTCCTGCACGTGCAATTTGCACCAAAAATGAGCATTAGCTTATCTGTATAAAATCAAAGCGACAGCTGGTTTAGATTGTTTTGTTTTCATTTCTGCAGCGTTTTTCTTGGGGACCCAATCCGCCAGAGGCTTTTATAGAGTCGCATCAGAGCGACAATAAGTTTGTGTCTGATATGTGAAAAAAAAAATGGCCGGAATGCGTCATCATCGGTGAAACAAACTCTGACAAACTGGGTGAACGCAGAAGGTTTTACTCTCCCCTCTCTCCTCTAGAATTACGGTTTGGAGACTGAGAACTTGAAGACGCTTTCTCACAAGCTCAGCGCGTCTGCAAAAAACCTGCAGAACTTCATCACGGGCCGGCGGCGCAGCGGCCATTACGACGGCAGAGCCACTCACAAGCTGCCCAACGACTTCCTCACCTCTGTGGTAGACCTGATCGCTGCTGCCAAGAGCCTGCTGGCGTGGCTGGACAGGTGAGACTTGCAAAATGATGCTGCTGGATAAAGTCATCCATCCATCCATCCATCCATCCATCCATCCATCCATCCATCCATCCATCCATCCATCCATCCATCCATCCATCCATCCATCCATCCATCCATCCAGTTTTAAAAAATCATGCTTTTGCTAAACGTAAGAGACAAGATTTAGAAAGCAAAACTACGGTCAGGTGTATCTGCACATTTATGTTCTCCTGAAATTATTCAACCCCAATTGCAAATTACATCTACTGGCTCAATAAACAAGCTATAGCAGCTGCTGCTGCTTTAAATAAATGTGTCAACAGTAATTGAAATAATTTAGCACAATTAAGATTACAAGTATTTTCTAAAAACCAAACCAGTCTTTATATTGACAACTGAAGTCATGTACATTATTCACCCACACCCTGACAAGCATTCTTAGCATTTCAGAACATTCTTTTGCTTTTATGACCTGCTGCATACGTGATTTATAGCCCAACTTTTGGCATCGTTCTTCAGGAATCGGCCAACCCCTCATGGGGAAATACCTTCAGTTCCTTAATTCATTTTCCTGGGTTTGTTTGCTGCAAACCTTTATTCCAGCCAAAGTCCAAACCTCAGGGACTTTTTCTGTCTGACAACTTTTAGATCTGGATCTGCCAGGAAGACCTTACATTAGTCAATTCAGCCAGCAGGTTGATATAAAAAAACCCCCCCAAAACTGAACAAGTCTGTTTTTATGTGGCTTAATGTCTTGTTTCTCCATGTGCACATGCATAATTGTGGACAAAATTAGACAGAATAAATGCAGAAAACTCATCTAGCTTTTAAATCTTATGCAAATACGTTGGTTTAAAAGCATGGAAACTGAAGAACATCTACATATTTACTCATTTTGTGCGTATTTGTTGATAGCAAGGCCGTTTCTCCCACCGTCGTGCGCATCGTCGAGTCTCTGAAATGTCTCCACCATGTTAGCAGTGATTCAATCTGTGATGAAGAACGGTCTAATGGTTCATTTCAGGTGCTCTTTCTTTTTCAGGTCACCGTTTGCTGCAGTGGCAGATTACTCTGTGACCAGAAACAATGTGATCCAGCTATGTCTCGAACTCACCACGATCGTGCAGCAGGTGAATGAACTGTGCAACATCACATTGCGACGTACGTCTCATGCCCTCGACGCAACTTGACCCACATGTTACGCTTCAAGCGACATGAAGCTGTAGGACCTATTCCTGCCATTTTCACTGTATTTAGCTATTTATTATGTACAATATACAAAGTTGAAAACGATTATCCTATCTTTTTTGAAAAAGCACTATAGTTAAGCAGGGGTGAAAGCTCAATATAAACAATTTACTGCTTTTAGACTTTTAATCTAAATTACAAAAAGTAGATCCAAAGATTTAAGATCTTTATTTATTGTCAGAGACTTACTAATGCTGTACTATCAGCTTTATTCAGGTACTGAATATTCATAAAACTTGAGACTCAAGTGGAGGTTCACCTTCCAGTTGGGCATAAAAATGGTTTAGATCATCCAAACATATTTAAATGTAGAAAAAGTTTAAACCAAATAATGTGTGACAAAGCTTATAGATGTTCCCTACCTGATCTGCCTGACTTGGAGAACCAACTTGGACTGAAAAGGTCCAAGTTGGTTCTACAACATCTTGATTTAGTGCTGAAAAAAAGAAGAAGAAAAAAAAAACGCACATCAGACTTTTCACATTTTCAGTAATGTTGAAGGCATTTTCCCTCCACTTTATGCACTTCTTTGTGTTGATGTATCACAAGGAAACACATCTATAGGTTTGTAGCTCTAATGCCATATTATTGGAAAGAGTTCACAGAGAGGAAATCATTTCGAAGGCTCTGCATTCGGTTGTTTATGTCACCGTTTCTGCTTCTGCTCTCGGACGGCGAGGGATGGCAGTCACTCATCTCCGTCTTGGTAACTAATGAGAGAAGTGACAGTTAATGGTCTCTGTGGAGGATAATGTTTATCTGGAGAAAAATTAAAGCGATAGAACAAATTGAAAGGAGGGGCGGGTGGGGGGAGTTAAAGAGGCCAAATTAGATGGAGCCGAAGACTGATAGAGAGGAAGGCTAGCAGAGAGCAAGAGAGAGACCTGCCTCCGCATTGGTGACTCATTTGTTTGGTGTTTGTGCATGCCTGTGTGGGAGGGTTGGTTGGGGAGGGGGGTTATGGTGTAGGTGCCAAGCTGCTCAATTTCTTCTTATATCCACCTACAGCAGAAAGGCCAATAACTCCATTTTAGTCTAATTCTCTTGAGGTAACAGATTTTTTTCCCTCTCTCTCTGAATATTCCCCAGGACTGCTCTGTGTACGAAACTGAAAACAAGATCCTGCATGTGGTGAGTTTCTAACTTTGTCCCGCTGCACTGAACGTGAAGTCACCTTTCGTGGGTTTAAAGAACGCACTCGTCCCTCGTTTGTCGTCCTCAGTGTAAAACTTTGTCCGAAGTGTGCGACCAGATTATCTCCCTGTCCTCGGACCCCATGGTGTCTCAGTCCGCACACCTGGAGGTGGTGCAGCTGGCCAACATAAAGTCCGCCGAAGGCTTGGTAAGACTCACCCGCAGCCACGCTGTCACTGTAAAATGCTTTTGTGCTATAAAACGGCACTGTGTTCCTGGAAAACACTCCATGTAATGTTATATTTCCATACCAACTTCAACCTTTCATGCTTTGAATATATCAAGGTTTCAAAAAATTAGGCCGAGGTTGTAACAAGCAGTGCGAGAGCATTTTTACCAGTGTTTGCGAAATACCCTCGGTTTCCTGAAGAACCCTTCTAGAGGCTAGTAATCATCTTCCGTGCTGTCATGTTCAATATAGAGATGAACCAATGTGACTGAAAGGATCCAGGTCTCAGTCCTTTCCACTCCACCCTGACTGCCGATTCGTCTGGCTTCAGGGTTTTTATTCGAATAAACAGCAAGCGCCACAGAATGACTAATAATTAGCCGGTCAGCAGCAGACTAATGCCGCTGTCAAGCTGGGTTCAAGTGGATGCATTTGTTTTTAATGATTAGTGGAGGGGTACCGAATCCCCTCCCCCACTGAAATGAATTGTGGGGGGTTCACTGGCAAACATAAGTCATGCAGTGAGGCAGAGTGGGTTGATTTCAGCTATAGTACTCTTACAGCAAGTTAATACGCAAGTTTTTTTTTTTTTTTTTGCAGAAGTGCAGCTTGCAGACTGCAGCAACTGTCTTAACAGTCTGTAAATATGAAGGTTAATAGCCGAGAAACTGGTAAAAATCAAAGATGGCACCTTGAGCTCTGAGTCTGTGATTTTGTTCATGCAGTCACTACCAAGGAGACACACACATCCCAAATCATGAAACATCATGAAACAATCCGTAAATATATATATGCCAAGATTTTCGCCATGCATCTGCTCAAACATTATTCCATCAGCTTGTATGGAAATGAACATGAATTGAGATATAGAGTAATTTAACATTTCTGTTCTAGTTTGTTAAATGGTTTTATAGCTGTTCATATTTGACCTGCAGTAGATAACCCCTTCTTTTAGTAACCAGATTATCTCAGAGTGACGGGGTGGGTATTATGGGGTTGAGGGTTCAATAACAGAGCAGACTGCTGTGTCAGAAACACCATAGCAGTTCATGTTAAAGTTGTTTTACAGCTTACATTGGACCGTTATTTAAAAATAAATGTATGGTTTTGACTAGGAAATTATAGATAGGAGTCAGTGCATCAAAAATAAACACGCCTGGCTTCATTTAAATAATCATTATTTTCTATGCAAGTAAATGTGACAGCAGTTTAAACATAAGGAAAGTTTGCAGAAACCGCAATGATTTTGTTGAGATTTAAATTGTTTTAAGAGAGTAGGAAACTGCTGTGGTTTCTTGGAGATTCTTCACCTTATGGGACCAACTGGTCTGGATTTAAACTAAATGAAGACACCAAGAACGTTTTCTACTGTGGGTAAGATAATAACTACTACACTATAACATTTCTGAATCATCCCTTTAATATGTAAAGTTATGTTGAATTGTTTTCTAGGTTGGTGTAAGTCAGGAAAAGACTTCAAAAAAATGTAAAGTACAACAAACAGACTACAATCAATGCTGGGTGATCATATCTACTAATTATAAATATTGTAACAGCATGACTCTCAGCAATATCTTTTTGCTTTGATTCAAATTTAGCATGATTGTCCTTCAGCATCTCTGACTCAGTGAAGGTATTCCCGTTCTGAACAACAGTACTAACTCTACCCTTTTATAAAAAAAATAAAAAAAACATAGACATTGCTGAATAAAAAAAAAAACAAAAAACAAGCTAGTTATTCCTTATTAGCTATTCCAAAACAAAGAAATGTCTCAGTCTGTTGGTTATTTCCTCCAAAAAAGGAAGAGACATTTTTTAATTTGTAAAATAAATTTGATTTTGAAATTTAAACATAACTTCTAGGTGGTTTGAATCACAGAAACCGTTTTTTTAAACCTGCAGAAACGTAGCTTTACTGGTTTGCTTGGTCCTCTGCAGCCTGGGGTTTTCAGACAGGAGAAAAGTGCAGGTTGAAATATTGAGGTCAGTTAGAAACGCTTTACTGTCCAGTGTCCGATGCAGCTCACTGTAGTGGCTCCAAAACTGGGTTTTGCTCAGCTGATGGGCATGTGAGTAATCTGTTAATATGAAACAAAAAAAAAACATGCATGTTGGGCGCTTTGAAATTAGACAGAGAGTGTACTGCAGCTGCAACACTTGACAAACATGCGTGTCTATTGTGGATAATTATTTAACAAAACTGAAAAAAAAACAAAAAGGAAAGAAAGAATCCGTTCTTCCACTGCGTAGCCATGAGCAGTTTGTTGGACTTTATCTTTGCATTGACCTACACTCAGACACAAGCTCCCTGCTCGGGGCCACAATAAAAGCCCTGCCCCCCACACAAATGCCGGGACTGGGCATGAAAGTTCTCTCATCCATTCAGTGAACCCTGAACACAACAGCGGGCCAAGTGGCCTAAAAAACAAATCTCTTCCACTCATCTTGAAGCCTGGCATGCCGCTTCTGTGCGTCTATGTGTGTTTCTTAATCTCTGTTCTTGCCCCTTTCCTTCGTAAAAGCTTGGAGTTTCAGCACTTTTGCAAACGGTGTTTTTGCAGATTGATGATCTTTCGTGTTTGTCTTTTGCACGTCAAGCAGATTATTTCAAATTCACAAGAACAAATTGCTCCACTGTTTTGCAGATATCCGTGAGGCTACACATTATTTTGAGTTCCTATGGTTCTCATATGTCCATTAATCCATATTGGTGTTATATTCTTTCAGGGTATGTACATCAAATCAACATACGACGGCTTACACGTGATCACCGGGACGACAGAAGGAGTGAGTGCTCGCCTCTTTGTTTTTTCATCGTCGGTACACATGTAGCGGATGTGCAGACTTAAGTGTGCCTTTTTTAACTCCTTCTTCTCTGGATAAGAATTGCTCTTTTGAAATCAAGTCAGATTGAAGGCGGAGCCTAATTTGACCAAAATGGTTGTAGCTTTTTTGTGATTTGTCTTTGCAGTAGTTTTGATTATTATGAAGCTGTTACTACTTCCCTGATTGATTGGCATTTCTGACAAAGACTATGATCCATAACTGATCGAGTAAAGTGAACACTTTTCTGCTGTTATGAACTAATAGTGAGGGATTTTATTTTGTTGTTATTTTAAACAAGTAGTGTGTGGTTCTCTATAAAGATGCATGCAACAACAATGACCTCTGTCTCCTCATCAGTCTCTGGCTGATCGTTGTAAGAAGATCCACGCTGGAGACGAAGTCATTCAGGTCAACCATCAGACAGTCGTAAGTCCAGGCTGGTTTATTTTATTTTCCTGTCTCCTGTCTGAATTTGCATACAATTTGTATTTTTTCTTTTTTCAATCTGGAAAAAGTTAGCATATAATTAATAGTTGTTTTTTTTTTCAATCTGCACACCATTTATGAGTTGAAACATAAAGCAATCATCTCTTCTGACTGTGTCTTTGCAGTCCTTTTAATAACATTTATAGGTCTTTGTATCCATAGTGGTGAAGCGCTGCTATCAAGTTATTTGATGATTATTGGGAATAAACAAGTGAACTGGATGGATCTGTTTTGCTTGCTGCATTGCCCATTACAGATTACTTTGCAATATCCAATATACAACACTTTGCAAGAGCATTCATCGCCCTAGAACTTTTCCACATTTTAATATATTTTATTAGGAATTTATGTGACATAGCATATAACTGCCTGTGCTGGTGGGTAACTTTAAAATGACAAATCAAGCTTTTGGGGGGTTTATGGAAAGATTGAACTGCAAACAGGGCAATCGTGGAATAATGCGTGTAAAATGCTAGATGACCTTTATAACCTCTCACATACAGAAACCCATGTGTCATTTTCACACTCTTCTTTGGTCTGTCCCATAAAACTGCAATAAAACACAATAAGGTGGAAAAATCCAGTGTTCAAGTCAACGTGCTTAGTGGTGTTTCTTCTTAAGCAACTCTCTGTCCGCCCACGCAGCTAATTTACATAACAGTGAAATGTCTCGGTTTGCTTGTGATACACCTTAGAGTGACGACATAAACTGCATCCCCCATCCCCCCTTTGCTGCACGCAACCGTGGAAAGTAAAAGACAAACAGAGGAAGAAGGAGATGCACAAGCTTTAGAAATATTCTTTCCTGGATTCAACATAGGAGAAACATTCAGGCATCTGAGTATTTTCCTGAGGAAAACAGAATTATACATTACTTGGTCAGAAGAGGACATGTAGAAGTTGAATTTATTATATTAAAAATGACAAGAGTTAAGGTTTTATGAATTACTCAGGTAATTAAAGAAACTGAGCCATTACAAGTAAAAACGCCTTGTTAGTTCTCTTGCTGCAACATTACCTAATCTTTTCTGAATTTGTCCTTTGACATGACTGTAAAAAAGTGCAGCCTCGCGACGAAATACGCAGTTTATTTGTGAATGAAAAAGGCCTCCTGCAGTGCAGACTTTAAATATAGCCCCTTTTGTGGAAAAAATAATTGCTGCCTGTGTGTGCAACAGCAAGATATGTAATAATTCCACAGCTGCTCATTTCAGTCAGCTCATCCACCGAATAGAGGCTTTCTTATTAAGAATGTGGAGAGAAGCAGCGCCGATTTGGGTGTCAGGACTCTTTCATGTCACTGAGGCATACAGACGTTCAAAGCATCTAAAAGTTCAGAGGAGGAAACTGTTAGATCCTCATTATCAAGAATCAACAGAAGTACCCAAACATTCAGTTTTTTTAACCCGTCAGTGTTTTTAGCTGTTAGCTTCATGCTAACTGATAGTCTGTAAAAGCGGAAAAAAACGTCTAATCTTGTCATGAATAGCGGTTGTAGAGTGGTGAGGCAGACGCAGTGGGCCCAGGTAGTGATGAGAAATTATTAATTTAATGGTGAATCACTACAGTAATCCAGGCAGCACAAAACTGGTAGCAACTGGTAACAATCACATAGACAGCGACAACTTGACGAAGACCCAACAAGGCACACAGGTGGGATTAAATACACAGAGGGTAATCAGGGAAACGAGACACAGCTGGGAGCAATCAAGGCTTAGACAGGACAACAGAGACTCGCATAGAAACCGAAATAAGCCTCAAATGTAGGTTGTATAGATCGCGGTTTCCCTCAAATAGAATATCTGACATATCTTTTATGATTTCTATGGTATAGTAATGGTGTATACATGGCAACGTTGTATGTCCTGATGGAGAGGTTGATGAGAGAGGAGCAGCTCAGTGGGTTTTGACAGCTGAGGCGATACTGTTGGTAAACACATTTGACATGTCCGATGATCCAAAACAGCATTGTCACTCAGAATGAATGTTATAACAGCATTCATATTGTTACTGCCTTTAATTTGCTGTGGCATGCAGCTATGAACAAATAGAGGTGATGCTGATTGATCCTGAACGTGGCAAGAAACCGTTGATTTAGCTGGATTGATTTTGATGTGTTTAGGTGGGCCTCAGTTCATAGCAGGGCAGAAAGATCACAAAACAAAATACAGAGGAGTTGGAGAAAGCTCTTTTTGGTCTATTAAATGCAACCCCCCCTTGAAAGGCAAATTAATAAATTTCTAATTTTTATGAAAAAAGGTTTTAGAAATGGTTGCGGGATTTTATTTTAGCAAGGCACCTTGAGGTTGAACGGTTTTGAGAGTTTGAGAATAAGTAAGAGCTGGTCACTAATATCAAACTATTTAAAGATGTTAAAAAGTTATGTGTCAAACTGAAGGCACGGGGGCCACATCTGGTCTGCCGTAGCTTTTTATGTGGCCATTTAAACTTCAAATTACAACAATAAGTTCTTCCAGTTTTCACAAATCTGAAAATTCAATTCATGTTATTGATATGGCGGGTAATAAAAATTCACATTTAACATCAGCGCAAATATTGTAACAATGTCTTACAAACATTTCTAAATTGGCACCACAAAATCTGTAATTTTGATTGCTAAAAAAACACTAAAACAATCACAAAATCCTAGAGGAATAGCTATTTATTTGTATTTTAACAATTTAATGGGTCTTATCAATATATTCTGGAACAACTGGCTGATATAAATTAATATTAAAACAAACTTTATGACAACAGAATAATGAGGAACATCTGAGAAATCTGTTCAGAGGGAAGCTGATATTTTATAAAATTAAAACCACAGGACCAAGCCTGGAAGCATGAAAACAGCAAACCAACCAAAATATAGCATTTACAGCGGATAATAAAAACACTGTCAAGCAATCGAACCAAACAAAACTCCCAAAACAATAGTTTAATTTCCTTAGAGATATATTTTACATTAAGGCATAATAAAACAACAGCAGAAGTAAAAGAAATCTGCTTTACTTATGCTTTTTAAGAAAGGCATAAGTAAAGCTTTTTCCACTCTCTGGAACAAATGTGTGAAGTAGCTGTCGAGATAAAAAATGACTTTCAGAGAAACACAGTGATCTCTAGGTCAGAGCCTGAAAAATGTTTGGTATCTCAGGCTAGTTTGAAATATGGACCCAAGACGCACTAAGCTTTAGCGCAGGCATCCAGCAGGCGAAGATTTCTCTCCCCAAACTGGATCTGGCATATTTAGTTCAGCAGCAGGGATTGTTTGTCTGGGCAGGGTCTTTCGGTTGTACTAAATATTATAAGGAACCGCTTAAAGACGACTTACAACTAGGCATGTAACTGCTAGCATCACACAGCAGGAGACAAAACCACTGCAGAGGACGAGGCGGACTGGTTTGGTCGTTAATTTCCGTTTTAACATCAAAATCTACATGGAGCTTAAAGATTGCTTCGTTCTTCTGCATGTCTTAACCATAGGAACCCAAAAAGTGCTATTAAAAATACAGAAGCATGTAAAACAAAATGGCTTCCTTCCAAGTTAATTTCCCCATAAGTCGGATTAGACTTTCAAACATAAAAAAGTTTTCACACCTGTTAACTTTAACCACATTTTACTACATATTTGAGCTATTTTGGTGGGATTTAATGTTACAGACTAACACAAAGTACCATACGTTCAAAGTGGAAGGAAAATGAAAAATTGCTTTTTCACTGATTGGTAAAAATCATCATTTGTTTGCAGTAATTACTAAATTGCTAAATTGACAAATGGTAAGTTAGCATGGATCTATTTATGATCTATTCACTGAATCAAGTTATGTTTTTCTTTGGGGATGCTCTTTCTTCATCATGTTGAGACGATGGAAGTACAGGGCAATCCTTGAGGAAAAAAACAGTTAGAAGCTGCAAAAGACTTGAGAGATCGACAGTGAAATTGTGTGGATCAAAATATAGTCTTATGCTAGTATGGCCTAGTCAAAGTCCATTGGGAATGTCAGATTCTGAGATTTTTTTTTGTCTGGATCTTAAAAGCTGGTCGAGACATACCACAAAAACTTTGGCACTTGTCTTTGCAGCAAAAGTATTTAGTCAATGTCCAGATTTAAGTCAGTGACTATATAAAAATAATACATCATTTTTCTTACATTTCACAAGTATGTTACTTTGTTTTGATCTGTCAACATGAAGTCCATCTAAAACAGGCAGAAGTTTGTGGCTGCAGTGAACAAACGTCAAGCAATACGAGTAATTCTTCAAGGCACTTTAGCATCTTTAAACTGAATTAAATCCCTTCCACTAATTGGCTGACTACACTCAAATATGGATAAATCTGACACATGCAGATGCTGGTGTGTTTCAAGGCTATTCTTGTTTGCTAGGTGGGCTGGCAGCTGAAGAACCTGGTGAACCTGCTGCGTGGGGACCCTGCAGGTGTCACCCTAACGCTGAAGAAACGCCCACAGAGCACGCTCACATCCACTCCTGCTCTGCTCAAAAACATGAGATGGAAACCATTAGCTCTGCAGGTACAACGGCAGCTTTCGCTCAGTCCTGTGTGATTATCTCTGTCGTTTACGTGTGCTTACTTCTGTGCATCCGTCTTATTTGTCCTCAAAATAAGAGTCGCCTCTAAAATGGACAAATTAGAAAACAAGGAGAGGGTTGTGGGAACAGGAGAGACAAAGGTCGTGCAGGAAGAGTTTTCCTAGAAAACCCCCTAGTGTTTGCCTTGGGGATTGTTTTAGATATTAAAATTGTACTCTGTCATTCAGATATGTGCTATATTTAACACTCACAAAGCATGAACAAAACAGATTGTTGTTGCTAAAATTATACTTGTGACTAATTAGTTGAGTGCTGCGGCATCATTCATTTAGATGTCATCATTTCATCCCTAAGTGGCATCTGTTGTCCTACTTCAGCCAATCTAGTTACATTATTAGGACAGTGTGCCAGCACCAGAATGGGTGGAAAAAAAAGAGAGGAATGAGCATTAAAGTGGTCCAGGCTTTCTTTGAGTCGCTTTCCAGAGAAAATGTTTTCTCTCCCCTGAGGCCACAAAGTACAGCCGTTCTCTGCCTCCTCCCTCTTAATGTCCTCCCTCCTCTTTTCCTCCAAAATTGATTTTTTTTTCTCCTCCTGCTGGCAGCATTAAAGACAGAAGTGAGAAAAAAATAAAGTCTGTCAGAGATTAAACAGGACTACAGTGTAGAAGTTAATCTGCTGGGTTTCCTTCTATTGCAAAAGCACTGCAGAAATTTAATCTCAGCTTTATAACAGAACAGATCATTAATGGCAGATTAAGATGCAAACCATGATAGTTCAGTTTGAGCAATGGGATATCTTCTGTTCTTCTGTTTTAAATAGGTAAATAAAAAGGCTAAGTTGTCTAGAAGTGACAAAAATTGTGTTTTGTAGCGTTAGTAAAAAATGTATCATATTCAAAGTCAAATATATTCATACATACATCTGAATTGATGTGAAAAAGAAACCTTTTGACTCCTATTAACCTGCTGTGTGTCTTATTTTTGAGGAGTCGACCAACACCAAAAACCACAGCAGAATTACAGTAGTTTTACTGAAAAATTTTTTTTTTTTTTTTTATGGGAGAACTTAAAATTAGGATTGTTAGAAAGACAAAAAAAACTTTATTCTCGTTAAAATTATTTTAAACACTGTAACAGTCTACAAATTTTATTACTAATCTACCAAAAACTCATCTGTTCAGAACTAGATGTTTTTTTTTCTTGCAAAACTGAAATTGAAATACTGAAATCTTCCTAATTTTTTAACTGAATTCTATGAAGAATTTATCCTCTTTAAGTTAACCAATCTGCAGATTGTTTTGTCACATTGATAAAAGAAAATAAGGGGATAGTAACAAAAACTAAATAAAAAAAGATACGGTCTATTAATTTAGAGTTCAGTTACAGTACTAACCAGACTGTTTAACCTGTAACCCATGAGAGCGGTGACTAGGCTGCTCTCCAAACTGCCTCCTTCGGTGAACCGGTTTAAAGTGGAGCTCTGCAAACGTCCTCTGCTCATTTCACAGCTGAGCTCCGCCGCCTCACTGTCTGACTAAAGTGAACAGTCACAGACTTACTCAGCTGTTGTGAGGTCCACATTTTCATTGTGCCATTTTCCGTAACTGTCTGTGTCTCCTTTTCCTCTCTGTCCGCCTGTCTCTCTGTCTTTTGCACATATTTAAACACATCCTCTCTCTCTCACACACACACACACACACACACACGCACACACACACATTCACTCACACACAGCCTGTCTTTCCTCAGAGTCCCAGCAGCAGCGTCGCTACGCCCACCAGCACATTAAGCACTCCCTCCAGGCGAAGTAGCTGCGCCCTGCAGGATCTGTACATCCCGCCTCCTCCGGCGGAGCCTTACACCCCCAGGTGAGCATGCGAAAGAATCCATCGATTACTGCCGTACAAAATTCAAGGTTCAGTGTTTCAGAGTCAAACATTGTGGTGTTGATTTTAATTTGCAGTAACACAAACACAGCTCGCCCTCTCCCCTCCCCCACTGACAGTTTTCTTTTTGTTAAAGTAAGAAACAAATCACAACAGGAGGAAAACAATGGAAGAAAAGCAGCACAGAACTTTACTACAGTGCAAAAAATAACAAAACATGAAGAGAAATACAGATTTCTGTTGCGATCCTTTACAGCGAGGCATAAAAATATTCGGTAACACTTTATTTGAAGGGGGCTGACTAAGACTGTCATGACACTTTCATAAACATGACATAACACATGTCATGCACATGAATAAGCCTTCATGAATATTTATGACTGTTGTCATAAAGCGTCATTCGGTAAATTATGACACTTTTAATACAAAGTTGAAATTATTCGAAATGTCTTCATTATGACAACTTGACATTAACAAAGAAATCATTACTGTTTAAACTTTACCTTTAATAACATAAAGTTACCTCATTTTTAAAGTGCAATCAGTAATACTTTTATAACAAATTTACATCAGTAATGATTTCTTGGTTAATGTCAAGTTGTCATAACAAAGACATTTTGAATAATGTCAACTTTGTATTAAAAGTGTCATAATTTACCGAATGACGCTTTATGACAACAGTCATAAATATTCATGAAGGCTTATTCATGTTCATGACAGGTGTTATGTCATGTTTATGACAGTGTCATGACAGTCTTATTCAACCCCCTTCCAATAAAGTGTTACCAAATATTCATATCCACAGACAGATTTAAATTAAAAGCTATTTTTTGCCAAAATGTTTGTTCTGAATGGAAGTAATTTGAATATTTTTAAACAGTCCAGTCAGAATCTGGTCAGTATTTGGTTGCTGTAAAGCCAAAAAAGTGGTTTTCCAGATATTAATGAGAAAGGCAAAAACTGTTTTTGACATGCAATTATTTTTCTTCAACTATAAATTAAAATATCTTCGAGAAAAAGTCTGGTTAATTTCTTATCAGAATGAACTTCTTGGTTGAATAATAATAATAATAAAAAATTTAAATCTGTATGAATATCTTCAATAAGAACTCAATAGAGTATTTGATGTCTCTAATTTTCAACCAAAGCCAATAAAAGAGCTAAGCTGATTAAACAATTGTTATTTTTGTTTATTTGCTGGTTAATAAATACAAAAGTAACCAAGTGAGAAAGGAACCTGAAAAACCCATCAACTTGTTACATCTCTGCAGAAGCAGGAGTGAAAGTGATGCTTCATCTTCAAGGAGTCGGTTTAATCTTTGCACCCAAGAATCATTAAGAATGGAAACATTTTCACTTTCTTTGAGATGCTCCGACCATTTTCACCTTTTGCCTCTGTGAAAATTTGCATTTTTATTGTTTTCTGAACCAAAAGAAATCCGTTTGCCACCGGACGTTTTGCATAAATTGCTGCCCACCCTGGGGACATTTTGTTTCTGCTGTGACAACTGATCATTTAAAATTCGCCGTATTGAAATGCAATTGCGAAATGCTTGCCACCAGTATGAGGGAGGGTGCTTCTGGTGAGAACGTCCCATTACTAAAACACAAGCTGAATTAACGAGCAGTCAAAGCCCGGTGGCTCCCCTGGGCAAAAACGTGTGAAAGTAAAATATAAATACATCTGTGAGTCACAGCTGGAGACTTGTTCCTTACCCCCCTGCTGAATATTAAGACGTCCCTGTTTCTAATTAAAACCCACAACAAACGCCGACTGCAATCCACCAGTTTGCTCTACCTGGAAGCTTATTTGACCTTCTCTGACGTTTTGCTTTCTTTAAAAGAGACGAGAAGGAAAATCTGACCGACGAGGATCCTCAGTCGGACGCCCAGGCCGCGGAGCGATCCGAGTCGCCCAACTCCTACCTGGACCAGGAGTGTCAGCGGCGATTCCCTCTGGTGGAGGAAGACTCCATACTCTACTGCTACGAGTACGACCAGAACCAGGAGGCCTCGTCGGTCCGCAGGGGGAGCACTCCCACCTACGGTAGGAAATCGTGACCGATAGCAGCTTAATGTCGTGGCAATGAGCGGCGTGTGGGTTTCTGGGTGTTTTTTTTGTTGTTTTTTTTTTGAGACATCTGCAGCTGTTTGATGTCTATGTGTGTGGACGGCTGTGTAATATTGACATCCCCCCTGCGCCTACTTGCTGCAGGCAGGCTCAGGCCCATCTCAATGCCCGTGGAATACAACTGGGTGGGAGATGACGAAGACCTGGCGAAGCTGAGGAGAGAGAGCAGGAGAGGTGAGTGGGAGGCAGTGGGAGAGAGAGAGAGAGAGAAGGACAGAGGGAAGCTGGGGCGAAGGGGTGGAAATCTTATAATACCCGCACCCTCTCAGATCTCTGAGCCAAGAAGTTGAAGCATGAGCTGGCCTGTCAACGCCGATAACATGCCGGATATCTGCTCCTGCCTCTTTCTCCTCCATATGTTCAGAATCTATAGCTGCTCCTTTTTTTATTTTTATTTTTTCCTCCTTCATCCCCGTCTCTCTCGGCCCCGCTGTTCTCTGTTTGGATATAAAAAGTACACTGTTGCTCCGGCAACGGTATAAATATATTTTCTTGAGGTGCTCACATTTCATTGGTGGCAGCTAAGTTAGGTGGTAAACGCGCCGGGAGGGGGCCGCGTTTCCTTTAAAATTTGACCCAAGAAAGGCTTGAGTGATGCGTTTGTGTCCTCTGGGAGGGATGCTTGCTTCTCTGGGCTTTTCAAAAAAAAAAAAAAAAAAAAAGAAGAAAGAAAGTGATGGGTCTATATTTATCTGCTTGAGACCTTTCATGGGTGTTTGGAGGCTTTTCTTTTTCTTGACAATTGCTTCCTCTGTAGATTGTATAATGATTTTTCAGACATTGCAGTGGATTTCTTTGCTGCACAGACAGCGTGCTGCTGTGGATTTGGTAACGTTGTCGTGCCTCACTAATCTACTTGTAATCACTCGTCCAGTCATGGTTAAAGGCTGAGGAATAACAGGGATTTTCACATTTTGTGGCAATACAGCCACAAACTTCAACATATTTTAATTGTATTTTATTCCATATAACTACATCAAATAATTGGAAAGAAGGAATCTGATTTATGTTTCTTTTTTTTTTTTTTTTTTTAAATAAACCCTGAAACGTTTTGTGTCACTTTTTTAGAGTCACTTTTCATTGACTTGCACATCTGGAGGCTGACTTTGACTGGACCATACTGAAATATGACTATACTTTCATCTGACCCCTTTCATTCGACTTTTGGTTTTATTTTTAAGGACGTTGTTGAAGGTGAACCTCCGCTCTGCTCTGGTCTGAAGTTTTTAGCAGGCTAATAATTGCTCTGTTTGTAGAAAGGAGAAAGAGACTGGAAAAAAACCAGATTGTCAGACATACAAAGACTTTTAACAGGTGAATCAGTAACATATCAGCTGAACTGTAGCTGCATCTATTAACTGTCCTTGTGTCCTGGATCTGTGCTGTAAATCACAAGGCCTGCTGTATGTTGCGATTGTCCTCTACTGTGTGTTCTTGTATAAAAATAAACTTATGTATGTAAAAAAATGCCCTGGTTTTAGCTCCATCATCAGATCTCATCAGATCTGACCAGCTTCCTTGTCCCTGCTGAAGACCAGCATTCCCACAGCATTATGCTGCCTTTAATATGTTTCATCATGGGGATGCAGTGTTCAGGGTGGTGGCTCTTTGTGTTAATCATTAAGTTCAACATTGATCCTATCACCTTCTTTCATGTGTTTGTTGTATCCCCTACATGATTTCAGTTCAATTTTATTTTACTTCATCCAACAATACTTTCCTGATTCCAAAGGGAACGTTTTAATTTAATCTAAAAATACTTTATTTATCCCAAATCGAAAGTTTTGTGGCAAACCGAAGAACTGAGGACTCAACAGTTACTTTCGTCCTGCCAGTAAGTGAGAATGGGCGACATTTCCAGCCCCTGAATGTGCACAGCTTGTAGAGGAACCCTCTGCAGGAGTGCAGCTCTAATTGCAGAAACATGCGGTTCTACCAGGTTCTGACTCAGAGGAGCTGAAAACAAGGACACCTGTAAGGAAAACGATGGTGGATTTTTCTCCCGCTTCACAGTCGTGCTGCTTTGTGTTTCTCTGTCCTTTAAAATGAAAATGATATGCACACAACATGTTAAAATAAAGGTAAAGTCATGAATGCTTTGGCAGCTATTTTTTCAGGATAAATAATAATTGGGAAGTGGACTGGGTGCAGCTTCTGTTTATCACCCTAATAAGCAATCCTCAGCTTCGTGTCCCACTGAGACCAGCTGAGACGGAGTCTGTGAAATGGATCTGTCACTGCAGCTGCAGCAACATCTAAAACCTGTCTGCAGCTGACTGTGGACTGCTTAAAATCTGTGTGCCTTCATTCACATCAGGACTGCTCAGAGTCGGCCTGGCAGATTGTGTCATTTTATCCCCACACAAATTATACCCCAAAATGGAGCCCACTGGGTATTTCCAAAGGTAAATTAGAAAACTGTGACTGCATTTAACCACGTTCCTCGCAGGCAGACATCCATCTCTTTCTTTCAGAGAGCTAAAATGGCCCCCATACTTTTAATTATTCATTCCTGAAGCGTATAGTAGACTCAGGTGTGTTCAGTCCTGAGCTGGCTTCTTTCTTGTCCCTGCAGAAAACTCCCTCCTGCGTTTCCCCAGTGAGGACAAACCCTCCGGGGAGAACTTCTTGCTGGGCCGCAGTCTGAGTCAGAACAGGAGGAAGATGGAGCGAGGAAGCAGCCCCACCCACTACACGCTTGTTCCCGCCCTGGAAGTCGCCATGTCCACGTCCAGCTCAGACTCTGCGTCGCTTTACCACGTCAGTCCCTCCAAGAAGCAAAAAGTTGAACACAAGTCACAACTGTGATCCGTTGACGTCGTTTTTATGATTCATTTCTTCTTCTGTTTTCAATTTTCAGGTGTTTGAGCGCTCCTCAATGCTGTCTAGATCTAAGAAGAAAAAGCAAGGTAGAAAGAAGCACTTGCTTTGCTTCATTTTTATTCAAGTGTACTTGAGCAAGGGTGTTTTTTTTTTCTCATGAGGTGTTTTCTTCTTTTCTGCCACCTGCAGCTGCAAGCCCCATGTCCTCCATCAGTAAACGAAGGATTTCCTGCCGGGACCTGGGTCAGGGCGACTGCCAGGGCTGGCTGTGGAAGAAGAAAGATGCTAAAACCTATTTTTCGCAGAAGTGGAAGAAATACTGGTTTATCCTGAAAGACACGTGTCTTTACTGGTACATGAACGAAGAGGTGAAAATGATTTTGATTTTTTTTTTTAAACATAGACAGTATTAATAACACAAATGAGATTCCATGGATGTAACTTTACCTTTGCTTGTGTCAGGATGAGAAGGCAGAGGGCTTTGTGAGTCTCCCAGAATTCAGGATTGATCGTGCCACTGAATGCAGAAGAAAATAGTGAGTATAAATTTATATTGCTGCTCTGAGATTTGAAGATTTAAAAAAAAAAATTATTATAAAGATTGCACTTCGTAAAGCTGAGTAGGGAGATGTAACAGGTATCCTAAAATATTTAAACAAAGGTCAGACATTACCAATATACAGTAAAAGTGTCTCAAAAAATATATACATACTTACATGTACGTATAAATATGTAATTTTTTGAAAATGATTGAAAGCAGAAGCCCAAATTTGTGATTTAAAAACAAACAAACTATGCACGTAGCGCACATTGTCCGACAACGTTGTGGCCAATTAATGTTATTAAACAGATCATTGTAGCAATACTTACAGGATGTGTGCGACCTCAAACCGCTTTAACAACAATAAATACTTATATGAGATCAAAGTTCAAAGTGTAGTAAGTTACTGTAAAGATTTTTCCTGCATGTTATGTTCATCAATACTCTCACAATCATCGTCATCAGAATCTTTACTGTCAGGCTTGTCATGTCTTCTTCAGATGCTGTAATTTGTCGTGGGGATAAAATTCTTATCTGCGTTGTTTAAATTACAGTCTATGTGAATGTTAAAGGTCACCACAATACTCTCTGCAGCATGCGAATCTGTTGTTTAAAAAAACGTCCTGCCTCAGACAATCCCGTGGCAGATGTTGCTCAGAAGTTGCATGAACGCTGTCATGCGTTGTCGTTTTCTATTTTTGTTTTTCCAGTTTCCTTAAATTCTTAAAACTCACATTTGGGTTTGTTTCTCATAGTTGTAATGATTTCTTTCTGTCAAGTGGAGAAAGATGTATGAAAGTAGTTAAAGAAAGCAAGGAAGCACAAGGGACAACACACAAGCGACAGCTGCAGAAGATATTACTGAAGTTACGAGGGACGCACCGATATAAAAATCTGGGCCAAAATCGATAGCCGATATTAATATCGCTGTTATTTACCAAAAATATAGATTTCAGGATTACAAGATGGATTTTCTGTTTTATAGGATTTTATTTATCCTTTAAAATGTAAGTAAAGTTTATTTATAAAGCGCTCTTCAGAGAAATAAAATCACAAAGCGCTGTACAGTAAAAATCAACCTTAAATCTACACAAAGCATAAAACTAACATAAGTTTTATGCTAGTAAAACTTATGTTAGCATTGACATTATCTACAATGTCAATGTCGATTTTTGCTTCAGTGTATATATGTAAAAATTTATTTTGAGTTATTAGCCAGTACATATTTAACAAATAATAAAAACAAAAATGTGAAAAAGTCTGTTTGAACTTCTTTAAATGTAGCCATGATGTAGTCTTGTATTCATATGTTAATCTGCGCTATACTGCTTGCCCTTGCTTGTACTCACATATAATTAAACTCCTTCTCTTTCAGTGCATTCAAGGCTTGCCATCCCAAGATAAAGACCTTCTACTTTGCTGCGGAAAATGTAGATGACATGTCCCGGTGAGTATCCGAGGTTTTGATAGCCGTGCTGCAAACTCCTCCAGTGCTGCATTTCAAACCGTCTATTGTCCAAGAGCTGAACTGCCTTATTAAACCTCCCACTCTCTTCAAAACTGGGTAGTTTTGCAAAGTAAATTGGTCAAAGAGAGAAATATAAGCTTTCAAAAAAAAAAAAAAAACATCACAAAATCATTAACGTTATGCGTCATCAGTGTTATTCTCCCCCACAGGTGGCTGAGTCGGCTCAGTATGGCTGTTGCAGGCTACTCTGAGCAGGAGAAAATGCGCCAGGAACAAGGTGAGATTAGTCACAGAGCCTTTTCACGAAGCTGTAGAAAAAGATGTCAGCTAGGGGTCAAGAGCTGCTAAATGGCGCAGCGGGACATCGGGTTGTGATGATGCGAACCTCCTTCGAGAATCACAGATGAAGTCTGTGTTCTTTACACTTTATTCACATCGTTCAGTACCGAGCGATGCTATCTTTGCACATAAAGACACCGAAGACTTTAAATCAACTCGCTGGTGCTGCTGCAAAATGTTCTCTGCTACGTGGATATCACATCTAGTAAAGTTATGAACTCCAAGGATATGTCTAGTGTGGTTGTTATGGTGACCCCCCCCCCCCCCCCCCACACCCAGTTCTTGTTCGGGGGTCCCCTCACCGCTAC